GTGTTGAAAATATGTCAATTTTAAATGTTTTAGGTGTATGCTAAGAATAGGCAAGGGAGTGCGGCTCCTGTGATCGGGACAATCTGTAGTAAATAAGCTGCATCATTGTTTAAGCCAAAGTGTTAAAAGCTGAGAAAAAAAGTCAAGGCTTATAGCCAAACTGTATGGTATTTCTCAAGCTTATCTCCTAGCAGTTTTGCCAATTTTAGCGTTTTCATTTATGTTTCAGGGGTCCTCCATACCTTCAAGCCTCATGCAATAATCTATCTACACCAGATAGACATATTATATACCAATGGAAAGGGAATTGGATGGTCTTTCAGACCTAGCCTATTGATTTCATTCTTATCAAGCTGTCTTGAAGTGTGACCTATTTTTCTTGTTACTAAAAATAAAAACAAAAACAGAAATCACACTTCTCCAACAGTCACAAATGAGGAAAAAAAGTGCATTCAATTCTGCTTATTACGTGTCAAAGATACACCATTCTGTTGGAAAATATAGAAATGTGGGCCATTCTAGTACATCCTACAATTCCCAGTTATACCATTGGAAAGGGAATGGGATGGTCTTTCAGACCTAGGCGATAGATTTCATATTTGTCAAGTTTCCATGAGGTGTGAAAATTTTTTTGTGTTACTAGAAATAGATGCAGAAACAGAAATCGGACTGCCCCAACAATCACAAATAAGAAAAAAAAATGTTTTACAATTTAGAGTTTACAGTAATTTGATGAAAAAGTACATTCAATTCTGCATGCAATGTGTCAAAGACACCTCATTCTGTAGAAAAATAAAGAAATGAGGGATGAGGGCGGTTCATGTGCATTCTACAAATTCTCGGTTATTGCCCTTGAAAATGGAAATTTCAGAGAGAGAATTTTATTATAAAACCATCAATTTCAATACCTGTTTTATATTTTTTTAGTTAATCCTGTCATTTTTATTTGATAAAATTACCTGACAAAATTTTTATTTTAAAAAGTAAATGTATTTATGGGCGAAAAACCTCATCACCAGCCTTCGTATATATTTATACGATATAGTAGGCCTACTGCATGAACTGCTGGGTTCGAGTTAAGCTATGGATATATCACAGAAGAAACTAATTTTTTTTTAAATTAAAAAATATAGGGCTTAGTAGATCTCAACAGCTGGCTGACGATTTGTTTGTTGGTTCATGATTTAATCCATTTTGACATTTTCGTGTTGAAATGTATGATACTATTGGTGGTTCCAGTTTTCTTGTTTGTGAGACATAAGCAAGAGTTGCCCAATCTATTGGCGAAGTTCTGGCTCGTCAGGCAGTACCCGTGTTCAACAGAGCTTGATGTATACTTTCTTAATTTTGATGAACCTTTTAGTACCAATTTTGCAGAGCTGTATGTACAAATTTAATTAATAAAAAATTGCATGAGAACAGGTTCGATTTACTTCAAAATAAATTTTGTTGATTTGAAACATTACTGTCCACCTCTGTTGTTTCTTGTATAAAGGGTGTGAGAAGAGTGAGTGTTGTGATGAGCTGATGTCCCATGAGGACCTTGTAAAGAGAACTCAAAGTTTATTACAAATCTCACCTGATGAGTTCCAGGTGGCCTGATAATAACATAACAAATTTAGTTATGGTTAATGGTGCAGAGCACAGAAACTTGAGATGTCTTTTTTGTGCTAATTTCTTGCTGGCCAATTTTGTATACTCCATACCACATGAGATTAAAAAAAAATCTCTCTTACAATAATTTATGTTCAATTGAAGTGCAGAAGATTTGTGTACAAACTTGTACTCATTTGAAATCTGAGGGTTGTTGAATAACCACATACATCTGCTTTAAGTCAAGAATAAAATGAAACATGATTCTCAACTCTTGTAAACAAAGGAATACAGTAATTAAAAAGAATACCAAGCTCTCAGATTTACCTTCATCTTTATTGTTTTGTGTACGTAGAAGTATAAAAAGGTTTTAAAAATCACAGCCTGATGCAGCAAATATGAAAATAAAACAAAATTTGGCATCACAGAGTTTCATACATACAGAATTTACATGTATGTACTAGTTATGTACATAAATACTGTTTTGGGCGGATACATGGGATCAAACCAATAGAACAGCAGATAAAAAATTTCAAAAAATGACAAAAGGCATTCATGCTAAAGAAGACTAGCACTAAAATGTACAATATGAGCATTGCTTAGAGTTGAGCTGCACCCAACTGCCCCTCGCGTATCATAAGCTTTATGATCTTAGAGAGTGGAAAGCATTCAGTATCAATCTTCATTTCATTAAATAATGTGTAGAACTTGGAAGTTAACCTCTGAAACAGGCAGGCCCGCCGTATTCTCCAGGGATACCACAATTTCTTGCAGAGACCAGAGTCTATGATGCTTGGGTTCATTGTTCCGAGAGAAAGCGAGTTAGTGATAACACTCAGGCAAGACAACACTCTGGCAAAACATGTTATGCAAAAGGTAACTTCAATCCACAGTGAAAACTTGATGCAGACCCGTACACATGTCCTCCATAAAAGATGCATAGCAGTTACAAGACTATTTACTTCTACAAACAAGAATATCTACATATATATCACGAATGTGTTGCTTTCTTCGGTCGCTTGAGGGAAGTCCCTGAACAGATTCGTTCAAAGAAATTTAAAACATAGCTTTTTTGGGGGTTTCAAATCTGTAATTCGTCTTCAAGATCAATCAACGAACATTTTTTTAAGAATAAAAATAAAGAGACATTTTTTCACATTGTGATTTTGACTGATCATATGACACCACATTAGAGACATGGTTCAGTGGAGCCATAATTCAAAGAATTACTACCATATTACTTCACTTCAGTTTCAGTATTCAGACTTCAGCAGAACCCCCCCCCCCCCCCCACTAAAATTTAGAAGCCCCTGCCAAAAGGTTTCTGCATAAACTACCACAATACAAACCAATGGCACAAACATGCCACATAAAATGCTTTCTGAAAAACTAATCATTAGATGACAAACAGGGCAAGGAGCCAAAAGAACAACAATCACAATAACAAAACAAATGACCTCCAATATAAATGAACAGCAGAACTTGAAATGAGGAAACCTAAATGCATATAAAAATTTAGTTCTGATTTGGCACTGACGGGCAGAAGGCGAGCTCATTCAGATACTTCTCTTCGCATGCACAATAAATGAGGTGGGAGTAAGAAAATAAGCATATCACCTTTGCTTTGAGATTCTCTCATTAAACAATTAAGGCTAATTGGACCCACAGCATATAGGCACAGATTCTGTATACTGCATCTTTTCTGTGTAAACTAAAAAATATAATACGACATGTAGAAAAAAACAACCCAACCCCCCCCCCCCCCCCTCCCCAATAATTTAGTTTTCATCAAAATATAGCGGGCACTCACAGCCTTCCGACCGCATGGTATCGATGAAATTAGGGTAATTCAGATAGCTGTTTCTTTGCTCTTTCGCTATAAAACACCAAATGCCGTACACCTTGTAAAAGTTCAGCTTTTCCTTGTTACAACGATGTAAGTTGTTTATATGTCCGATTATTAGGAGCTGGAAAATTGCTGTGGAAAGCAAAGCCCCTCGTGGTCGAAACCCGTCATTGGCCGGTTCAAAAAGTGACCCGTGTGCATTCAAATGCTTGGCGGAAAGATTGATGATTAAATACCATCTTTTCATTGGCGAAGAACTGTAGAGCTTTAGACCGCCTTTCCCATGATATATTTTTGGCCTATGGCGTTTAAATAAAAAGCCTTTAAAACTGCCGTCGAAGTTTTCAAAGATCATTTTTTACTCGAAATATGTAAAATACCAGCTCTAAAAACGTGTCAATAGAAAGATCAGTTCATTTTCTATTAAAATAAAGTAATCGGCTTGGAACTATTTTTCATCAATCCATCCGCGAAACTCGGAAACCATGTGACCCCCTACGCGGGGATCCCTCTGTACATTACAGTAAACAGTCTGGGGGCAGGTGGGGCCCCGGCCGGGTTAACGCGCTGTGTTTTTTATCGAAATAACGACAGATCATCGTGTTTGCAGCAATAAAATACTGATTTGTAATGATCTTAAAGTCTTGAAAAAAATTAAACTCCATATACATGTTATAGTGATTGTACTCACTTCATGTGATGCTTCACATATATGACTGAACATAAAGGACAAGAAAATGAGAAAATAAACGCTAACATAAAGGATAAGAAAATATACGCTTTTATAATATGACTGGCCAGATCACCGAGAGGTCTCAATCTACTGAAGTCAAGGTAACTACTACTTTTCATCCGTACTTTGTCAAGAGCAGTCAGGATGTACATTTTCTACTTCTCCTGAAAAGTCGCATCTACGAAGAACCACGATTTGGTCCACTACGCTTGATGAGAAATAAATATGTGAAAATGGCAAGGAGATTTTGTCACAGTGTATCTGGCAAAAGTGATCTCACTGGCACAAAGTGGCAAGACTCATGCAACATCACAACTACAGGCCAGGATAGAGTCACATTTATAAAGTTTTAAGAACACATATATCTTACTTTATCTTTTCATATCCCTGAAAAACAGCACACTTGACTGTAAACATTTCTAAACGTGAAAGTCCTCTAATCATTCTTTATGTATTGCACTTCATCAACCGCAGAAGTGCATTATAAATAAAATGTATTTACACAAGTGGTGATCACTTTAAAAAAAGAAGTAATGACAATATCTCAGTTTGCTGGTAGCCAATTCCATTTTGACATTCCACGTTTACAGCGTCACATCTACTCATGTAAAGTTGAACCACACTTTAGACAACAGATGTAAATAAACAAAGTATAAGACAATAACTTAGAGAGGCACAAGTAGCAAGAAAGATTCACATAGAAAATACAAACTCATATACGTAAACTGAGTGAATGATGGCCAACAATACATTCTGAAGTTGTTAGAAGCTAGACACAAAATATTGTAAGATTTTCCACAACCCCCCCCCCCCCCCCAAAAAAAAATATATTCATAAATGAAAAACGTGGATAAACTACATGAACATTCTGAAAAGCTGGTAGCAGTTAAGGATTAACAGACAAGGCAGCAGGAAAAGAACAAAGAATGGAGAGATACTGGTGCAGTGAACAAAAACTACTCTTTCCAAATTTCAAAGGGGAAAATATCATAGTGGTCCGAATGGTCTAAATAAATATTCATTGGATTGTGAACAAAAGGCACAAAGTAATGATTTTGATGATCTGAAACACTCCTTAATTAAAAATAATTTCCTACAGCAAGCCCTAGTTCATCAGAATGACTATTTCTTACTTAGGAGGCAGGGAACAGTAGTGCATAGGAAACATATATCGGTTTCTTCAGGTTGTCCAGAGAGATGACCTGTGGAGGGAAACAATGACGACTGTTATTACAGCCAAATGCTAGTAACATTAATCAATCAGTTTTTAATACCAAACACATATTTCTGATCAAAACCTGCTGTCAGATGTTCGATACACCAATCCAGTGTCCATGTGATCAAGTGTAACTACAATGCTGGGGACCCAAAGGACAATATATATCTTTACTTTGAAAAGAATGTTAAAAAGACTCTTACACTTTTATTCAAGAGAGGAATATACAAAAAAAAAAGCCTTTGACATAGTTGATCCATTTTAAAAAAAAATCAATTTGGTCAAAAGCCTGACCCTATGAGAACTATTCAGTTACAAATTATGTGCGTTAAGTAAAGATTTAAAGGACCATATCACATTGACTACCCACTGGCACGATTGGGTCAGGTCCGGTCAGTTTGCTAACCAGATTGAGGAGGCAAAGCGGCTATTGTGGTACAAACCGATCAACCAACTCGTCACCTCAAAAACAAAGGCGATTGTTTTCAGGCGACGAGTCGGGCGATCGACCCGACCAGACCCCATCCCATCCACAATGGACATCCGGTATAAGACTCTGCCATACGCCATTTTGGAAAGTGGGCAGTCTTACACTGAACAGTCAATAGGACACACAGTACTGCAGTTGTACTGCTGAGCCTTGCCACCCCGAAATTACCACAATTTGACTTTTTCAGGTCGACCTTAAAGTTTCAATTCCGGAGTCATAAACCTGACTGATACATTTTCATCACATAACATTTCTCATTCTCTGACCCTCACAAAGAAGTCCACACATAGCTACAGGGAATTCATTTTAAAAAAAATAACTTTATAACACTTACTAAAAACTAACTCTATTAGAACACAAAGACAGAAGTTCAAAAATCCTACCTGACTCTTGCTTGTCTTCTCTCCCAGACCAAACTTGTGGGTGAGCACTCCAGTGGACTCCATGTGATGCTCTCCCTTGTGTAAATACTGCACTGTGATGCTGTACTGGACCTCGCGGTCCGAGCGCATGGAGAAAGTCTGGCGCTCACACTGACGGAAACTCAGGATGGGATCGCCAGGCTTTAACCTCTGTAAGGAAAATCAAGGATAAGAGAACAACGATAATGGACATATGAATTCAGTTGTACACTTTAGTAATATATCACTTGGAAAAGCATTGAATAAGTATCAACACAACCTTACTTTCACTGATTAATTCAACTATAACAATAGTATAGCAATTGTGTCCATATCAAATAAATTTCAGATGAATATTTCACTGCTGAGGAGCCCCAAACCGGTGACCATTAATTGTACTTTGGACCACTAAAAGCAAAAACAACTAATCCATCATAGAAGTAAAATCATCAAGAAAATTTACTTAGATGAGAGTAAAAGCTTAAAATCATATATACCTGCATATAAAACTGATAAGTGTGATTTTCTGAGCTTTGTCGGATTGCCTTGAGTTCAAAATGGAAGCCGTGAAGGGACAGGATCTCTGAGTGATAATGGGGTTCCTGAAAAACACAAGAGATAAACAACAATAAGAAGATCTTTCCAGTTTATTATATGTGAGATACATATTATCCACACAATAAACCCCCCATGGGGCTCTCGTGGCCTAGAGGTTAAGGTGTTGGCTTCTCATTCAAAGGTCCTGGGTTCGAATCCGGGTAGCGAACGAAAAAATTTTCTTCTCTAAAATTGTCTCCTTTCACCTCCTTTCCAGCAATATTCAGTCGTCTGCTTTCGTCTCCTCTTTCTGCCCCCACCCCCTCACCTCCTTTGCCCCCTCCTCTGGACTCCTGACTCTTTCTGCAGCCTTTCTACTGCTACTCCTTGACTCCTTCTTACAGCTGTCTTTCTGCCACACCCCTGATCTTCTGGTAGGAAAGATCTACACCTAGCCTTCTCGGACAAGGCCGAAAAATCTCGGAGGGCCCCTGTGCAAGTTGCGCACGTTAAAGATCCCTTGGTGGTCTAAAATCGATAAGAGTAGGCTTCGGCCGCCACCCGGGCAAAATTCAAAATTTTCTACCAACTAAAAGTATTAAGTGTGTCCCGCGCGCTCATATGACCTTATGCAGTTGCGAGCGCCATAAAACACTAACCAAAAAAAACCACCAAAAAACAAAACCCCCCATCAAACATATTAGAGCTCACAGAGCTCAAGAAAACTAAGGACAGACTGTGTTCTAATGAACTTACACACATTTTGGTTTACTGAACCTGAAAAAGTTTACTCTATGATAATAGGGACAGGCCGCACTTTTTAACTATAACTCTATTGTTAGTGTTTGCTGTTCGCTTCACTTTTTTCCAGCTCTAAATCTATTTTATTGCAAAGTAACTGTGTTTCTCTTTCATCAAAATATACCAAACATGAACTGAATCTGACAAACAGCACTATCAAATTTTGAAAAAAAATTCATCAGCAAGCCCTTGACAAGTGAGCTTTGCAGGAGTGATTCCCCAGTACATTTTTCAAATAAAAAATTAACTCTTGTCCTGTGTCTGTGCTGAGATACGAATCTTATCAGTGTAACCTATTACATCGGAAGCTCTTGTTACGAATGATCTGGGGTTCGAAAGGGAGTAATACAGGTCAATTTCTGAATGTTTTGCTCTCAAATGGTTCTTTATACCTGCACAATGGTATTCAAAACTTTCAAATCAGCTAATTTTTATCAGGTAATATCATTTTATATAAAATCAAGCTCTTTTGAAAGGTTTTGTATAGAAAAATGGAAGTCTTGTTTCCTGGCTATCCTTTTGAGCTCCTCATGTCTAAGTGAGTCAATTTGTTCTAATCTCATTCGACGAACATCTAGAGCTACCAACTTGGCGTGTTTTGAATGAGACGCATGCCTCGGTTACAAACCAATGCATGTAGTTCTAGATATATCTAGAAGTAGGCCACAAACTCAAGCAGACTGACACACACTTGAGCTGCGGGAATATGGGACCCAGTCATCACGTGGGTGATGCTCGGCGCGTGCGGTGAGCCAGGAGCCAGACTGATACGGGACCGGACGGAAGGCGAGGTGTTGAAATACGCTTATCAGAGAACATAAACCCGGCCGCAGGACCAGGGTTAAAATGGTAGAGGCCAGTAAACAAGGAACTGAGAGCTACAATGAATTGTCTTTTTAAAGCAAAACAATCATTCTGTAATGCTTACATCATCCACAATGAATCCTTGTCTGATAGCATTGACATTGAACTGTTTCAGTGACGTCATGTCTCCTCCTTCTTGAAGCTGGGGACAAAAGAAAAATAGATAAGTGTCCAGCAGAAATGCTCTTATTGAGTCTTAATCCACACTCCTCGTTTCCTTGATACAAATCTAGGCCAAAACATGGGCACAGAAATTTTAAGCTATGTATCACCATCCACCACCATACCATACCAAATTTTCATAAATTTAATTGCAACTCCTTGGTTATCAGCCTTGTTCACTCCTGTCAGGATGACTGTTACTAACAAGCTTTGCTTTGCATGGTGATCAATGATTCTCAGCAGTTCGAGTAAAGCGGGTTTTGCAGTATCTTCTTTTCTAAAGAACAGATTCGTATAACTATCACAATACAGGGTGGTTAAATAAGAATTAAAAGATTTTATGACGCATTGCTTCCGTTCTCAAGCATTGTTATGAAATAAGTCAGTGACCATTTAAAAGAGGAGTTATCTAACTTCTGAATATCTGTCATATAAGGTGTTGTTGTCGCATCATTCTTCCTTTGAGGTTTGAAGGAAATACCGTTACACGACAAACCTACCTTGATATGCTCCAAAACTGACTCTTCACATAACTTCACCTTTCAAAAAGGTGGAGCACCGCTCAATTGGCATCTGATAGTTCAAGCTTTTTTAAATGAAAAAGTGACCCAGCGACAGATTGGTCTGAAAGGGGCCCCTATACCTTACTCTCTGTGCTTGGCATGCCAAATCCCATAACCTCATTGTGTGTGACTTTTTCTTGTGGGGATATGTAAAAGATTGCATTTATGTTCCACCGCTACCCAGTAACTTTGAATAACAAAGGCGATCAACTCTGTGGACCATAATATGCTGAAATACGTCTGGGACGAATTCTTTTATAGCATTGATGTTATCCATGCTGCTGGTGGAGGCTACATTGAACACTTGTAAGACGTGAAATAAAAGTTGACTGGGAGTATAATACTTGCAACTAAACTTGAGTTTCTAAATAGCTTTTCCTCATTAAAATATTGCGTAATGAAATTGGTTCATTCTTTTTTTACACACCCTGCACAATGAGCACATAGAAAGAAGGATTTGAAGAAAACAGATTCACTAAAATTACTGACAATATACCCACATTTTCACAGCAATGTGACCAAATGACCAACATAATGTTAAACCCCCTGAAGGGTAAAACACCCTAAGTCCAAGGTCTATATGTGAGGCAGCGTGGTGAAATCAGGCGCTCGTCAAAATAATGAAAATGAAGAAACTGGCATTTTTCTGCCAGTTTGACAATTTGTATCAAATTTTTGTTTTCAGGTTTAACATCAGTTTTGTCCAATTAAGAATACATTTCTGGGGGGATTTTTACTGAAAAGTGTTGATTAAAGGCACAAAGAAGTCAGTTTTCAGTTTTACGGACTATCAAACTATGGAAATAACTAAACTTTGACGGCCATTTTCTCGTTAATTCTACATTTGAAACCAGGTGACCCCACTTTCTTCAATCTTAATTATCTTGACTTCTATTCAAGATAGATGAGCATTTTTTTCACTGATAGCAAGACAATTAAAATAGCTTTAAGATGATACCAATAACTTCACATGCCCAAAAATTGACGAGCCCTGATTCCGTCACGTTGTGACACATACGGCTTTCGAGAAAAATCCCAAAAGGTGTTAATGATTTATAATAAAAGACCTGGATATTCCATCTTAATTCTCACTAAAAACAGTCATGGGTCTAAGATAAAAAGGACTTACAGCTTGATAATGCTGAGAAAGAAGACGAACCATCCAGCTCTGTGGTAAGATGTTCATTATTTGCATGTCCTGAATGTTGGTTGCTGAAAAATAGACAAACACATCACATTCAACCTCATACCCCTGTACTAGTAGGAACAAATCTGTTTTATTTCTCCTTCAGTGAATAAAAGAACAAGAGATCATGAAATGTTAGTAATCTTAGAAAGTTGCTGTGACAACTTTTTCCATTTAAGAACAAACCAGTTTCACTTTAAAAAATATAAACCAATGTACAAAAGTTTTTAAAATGCACAGAAAATTGAGGTAGCCAACCCGGTACCAGTACTAATACTGAGGGTAACTTGCCATTTACAGAAAAAAAAAAAAGAAGTTTCATTCAGATATCTAGATTTTAGATATAATGTTTCACATGATCGTCGTTCGTGGCAAGCTGTCAAAATTTGTCATTGCACCATCGATAGAAGGCAAACCTGGGAATAATGAATAGCTAAAAGTACCTTCACAATACCCAGCGTATACCCTAATTTTCACATCTGAAAGTCGCATGTCACAACCTCGGAACACCACTTCGAATTGTTTTTGATTTGAGTAGTTTTAGCACAAATTTCTTTCATCGCGGCCCTCATCGCGTACCTGTGCCATAGAATCTTTGCACCGATAATTTCTCTAGATCTAGACAATAAATTTTCAAAAAAAGCTTCTTTCTGACAGATCACAAGTCAATATACTTGATCAACGCGCAGATTTTCCAGCTGCAGCAACAATACGAAGATAGACAAACGGAATGAGGGAATGATAGACGGATGAAAGTAGCACAAAAAGTTTGCCAGATTTTGATCAATCTGCAGGTAAAAAATGTACTGCCGACCAACCTGCAATGAATGCATGGGGCATAGCGGAATAATGGCCGATGACAGGAAATGCCCAATCTGGCAGGTGTCTATAACATAAACTATTGCCGAGAGAATTACCGTAAATATCCGTAACTTATAGAAGACGATACGAAGGCGAGTATGGACCTTTTGCTAAGAAATTTCGGTAGTCCTACGCTGTCGTAGATTTTTTTGGAGGGAGTTGATAATGATGGAGGAACAAGTACGGAACTAGCAGAAAGTACGGATTTCCGTAAAAATACGGAAGAGTGGAAGCACTGGATACCTTAGGGTAGATATTTAAACTGTTGAACTTGTTTGACCTTTTCACCTTTGCTAATAAGACGCTTTTTTTCAGATATCACCATGCATTCTGTTTTCTTCTCATTCCAATAAATTTTCAGCCCTTTGACAAATCAGAACCCAAACGTCAAAGGTCTTAATACGAAAACAGTTTGCAGTCACAGTTTGACATTTAAAAGAAAAGACTTTACTAACAAAGAGGTGTCCCAAAGAATATACTCAGAGCTAAACACAGGACCACTTACTATCTAGGTAACAAAAAAATAGTTTCAAAATCTGGTCTCTCTAAGCGAGGAGAATGGGAAAAGGGTATGTGTCCCACAGGGGGAACTAAAATAGGCAGCAAAAGCTAGAAATCCCCCCCCCCCCCCCCCATATTAATGAATTAAATTATCAAACGCTTTTTAAATAGATCTAATCAATGTTTTTCATATTCTCTTATTGTTTCATCCTCGTCAATAATTGTCTGATATAAATAAAAATCACTAACATAACACCCAAAAGGGGACACCAGGAAGAAAAAAAAAAAGCATTCACGACTTACTGTCTATAATGCCATGGAGCCTAACAGTGGAGAACAGTGGGGCATACATCTGGCCATCATCTGTCTCTAAGAAGGAGCAAGTCTTTGGCAAGCTGAAATGAAAATATGTAAGAACAAAACAATGTTGTAGCTGAAATACAAAATCGCAAACAGTCCCAAACATATTTTCTGATTTAACAAAGGTATTCCTTTATACACCATAAGGTTCTTTACAAGTTATATGGTAAAAATATCTTATTTTTCAAGATTATCAAACCAAACTTTGATTCTCTACAAGAAGACGCAACAAGTAGTCTGTGGATACACTTAGGTATGGCATGTGTTCAATGCCCCTTTTAATGCAGTTGAGTTAATTATGTAGCATGTCCATTTGTGTGAGAAGTCAGCTTGCAAATGCCCCAAACCACTTAAGCTCAACAATGCACTGTTGTAGATGTCAAGCAGGGCTATTTGCATGGCAGTCAGGAATGATCCCACTCAAGCTAATGCTGTGCCAGTAGCCCATTTGTGGGCAAAAATTACAAACATGCTTTCCAAATGACAGGAAAAATAAAAATAAATTGCCCCAAGTACCAGTTATTCAATTTCAACACCCCTTACTCTTAGAAGTTACGACCAAGGCGAACAATGAACTTGAGAAAATCAGTAGGAGCAAACCTGTTAAAATAGGCCAGGACGGTGCTGTGTGAGGGCATGAGCTGCATCTGTGGGTTGAGCTGCAGGAAGAGCCAGTAGGACAGGTTGCGGTACACGCTGTACTCGTTGTAGGTGAACAGGCTGGGCCAGACACGGAGACACAGATGTCAAACAGGGAAGTGCTTCGTTTTATTTTATTTATTTTTAAAAATAATTTTAGTAAGAGTTTTATGGCATTTGCAACACAATTAGGTCATATAAGTATTGAAGATTAGAGGTGTTGCAAGCGAGTAACAAACATGATAAAGGAAGAGAGATAAGAACAATAGACGGTTGACAGAAAAAAAAGAGGAAAAGGAGGAAACGACACCAAAGCACCCGCCAATCATCCAAAGAAGTGTGAGGAGATGATAACACAGGGAATAACTTATTCCATACGAGCAGGAAATGTAGCTTTGCCTCAAAGGGAGAGAGGCAGAAAGATAACTTTTTTTTAGCAACATGGTAGCTCCAAAGAGTATTCCAGGCGTAGCAACAAAAAAAAAAGACCCAAAAAAGGAGTAGTTCAAGAATTCGAAACCTAAAACTGATGAAAACGAGTTCTTTATTCGCGTGGTATATCTAGATAAATGCTTTCCCTTTTCAGTCCTAGATGTGGCATCAGTGCAAATGATCAAGTCTGTAGCTTGTACAGTCTCGTTAGCACAAAGTTCGGAGCTGCACCTTCTTCAGATAAATACCTATATGTAGGCAAATGAGTGAATACTTAATAAAGGGAAGTGGTGGTGAGAGGGACTGGGAAGGCAGAGGGGTAGGGGGTGGGGGCAGGTCCTGTACTTCATATATTTCCCCATAAATAATAATGAACCAATGTGCATAGTTCTGGATGTGTGTGTACAAAAATGAGTTGCCTATGTATACGATGCCTGTGAGTGAAAGAAAAGAAGAAATGGGGAAGAGAGAGAAAAGGGTAGGAATGGGGGGGAAACAAAGGAGATGATGACTGTGGAGGAGAACTTGAGAGAGGAGAAAAAAGTTTACAGAAAACGGTTTACCTCTTTCAAATATTCAATGACCAGTAACAACAAATGTCACAATGAATGAAGCAAAACAAATACCTTTGCCACAACATCTCCCAGAAGAATCACCCAAAACCCTATGATAAAGTTTTTGACATTCTGCAAATGAATACTAACCGGCTTGACTTGAGAATTTTCTGTAAAAGTTCACTGCTCATCTCCCTCAGTTGAATATGCATTGAAAGCTGAAAATACAGATAAAGTTTTGAAGAGTTTTGCTCCTGAAATATACAAACTCTCATCTTCACTCAAGACATGAAAAATTATGTATTTCAAATCTATTCAAGTTTTCTGTAACCCACTCACCTCTTATATTTCAACCATCAAAGGAATTTGATCAATTTCCTTGTGTCTTTGAAGCTGGTTACCCTATGAATATCTTTCAAAGGAGGATTAACACAGCTTCTGTTATCTTCTGGGCAAAACATTGTTTGAGTAAAGAAAAGCACACTAGTAAAATAACAGTCACTTAGTATTTAGAAATAGCAAGACGGACACACAGAAATAACAGAGATAAAGAAAAAAAGAACAATCTACCACTGGCATCCAGTAATGCATGCATTTTGTGAAGCAGCCTGGTTAGTACCTAGTATATTTTGAGTAACTGAATACAGAAACTTTCCATTATGAGCCAAATGTCTTTGACAAAATGTATCTTACCTCTGGAATTAGATTGAGTTCCAACCATCGCTCACAAGCTAAAACAACATGCTCCTGGTGATACTGAGGGTGAAAAAGAATAACAAAATATTTCATTACTTTGTAGTAAAAAATGCTAAAAATTTGCAAAGATCAAAATATTTCTACAGGCAGAAGGAAATTATATGAAACATTCTGTGACATCTGAGCAAACATTTAAAATGATTTTTTTTGGGTAAAAAAAAATGTAGAACTTGCTCTTTCGGCCACCTGGCTAAGACAATCACCTTTACAAACGCCTGCTTCCCACTCACTATCTTCGCATTTAAAAAATAATTTGATGACATTTTCCAAGACGTCTACATATTTTCAAACACTTTCAATACTTCTGTGTACTTTATTAATAACAAACTTGATACAACATTAAGAAAGCAACTTGCAACAGTATATTTTTATTAACAGAGCTTAAAGAAGAAAAGATTACCTTTGATGCTGCAAGATGATAAGTACAGACTGTTCTGTAGTTGATGGACTTGAGCATAATTGTTCCGCATCTGTGCAACATTTAAAAACCATAATAGTCAAAATGCAGCAAGAAATTATATCAAAAATAAAAATCCCAAAAGAGAATTCGGAGACAAAAAAAACAAAAGACTCAACAGAGGCATTTTTCGAATCAACCACATCCTCCTCCTCCCACCCCTCTAAATAAAAGTACTCACAAAAAAACAGTACTCAAAACATGTACAGTAGTCTCTGCCTAAACGCATGGTACTCGGGAGGGCTCCTTAGCGTGTGTTTATACAGAGCGTGCGTTTACACGAACCTTAGCAAAGGGGAGGAAGGGACGCAGTCATCTCATTGCCTTGATATTCTAGTGACCTCCCTTTGGGGTGAGGGTCACTTTGGGCCGATAATGTGACTGTTTTGTAAAAGATTCCCCGACTGCGGTAAAGACCGCAAAGGCGTTGAATTTTTTTGTTGTGTGGGGGGGGGGGGGGGGCAGAAAGACAGACTCGATGTAATGAATGCACCATAAAATGTCGGGAACCAATAGCCTAAAAAGAAATTGTTGGTGATAGTCATAGAGACGACGGCCCAGACACGTGGCTTTCCAAGCGACCACCCCCGACCGTAAATTCATGAACGAGCATTCACGTGTGTTGCGCATCCTAGGCTTAGGTCTAGCTAAACATTAGCCAACACGCAGTCACTCAAACACCAGTCAGAAACCTTCTCTCAAAGAGATGCATTTCCAGTGACCAATCAAATAACGTTTCAGTCCCCCAACATATCACCAGATTGGAGCGTGCGTTTAGGGAGAGTGACCGTGCGTTTGTACGTCAAAATTATATAGTAAAAAACCCGTCAGATGACGAAAGCGTGCATTTGAGCGGAGCATGCTTTTGTATGGCGTGCGTTTAGGCGGAGACTACTGTACCAGTTTACTCTCAGGGAAGTATATAGTATGGATATCAAAATCTTCTGCCTTTCACTTGTCTTCTTCATTTTCTGAGCTTTCACAGCTAGGCTTGATCTATTATATGTCACTCAACAAGTTTCAATAGTACAGAATCATGAATTTAGAACAGAATCAAACCTATGAGTGGGGGCTTGACGATTGCTCTGGTATGGTTTGCTCCTTCTTTCCTCTCAAACATGTATCATTCTTATCACTTCTACTTTTCTTTGAGCGTTACTCTCTGGTAACACCTTTAATCTTCAGCACTTATATGACCTACATGTTTTCCAAGTTATATGCTCCCATCATCCCAGCCCCATAAGAAAAAAAAAGAAGAAAAATGAGGGGATGACAGGTTGCTACCTCATAATTACAAAGTTCTATCTGCTCTGTGCCTAGTTTTGAGAAATTTGATGTCAAAATTCTTGAGTTTCACAAGAAAATTACAAAGTTCTATTTGCTCAATACCTAGTTCTGAGAAATTTAATATAAACATTTTTGAGTTTCACAACATGTCAAGCTTTTTCTAAAGCAATTCTTTGAATAGCTCGATAACGACTCTGAATATTCTTACGATCTCGATAGAGCAGACAGAGCATTTGCTTTCTGATCTCATGGACTTAGTAACTCAAAACAGCCAAAAATGTCAGATAGAACTTTGTCGTTCTGAGGTACTGATGTATGCATGAAAAACAAACAAAACAAAAGTGAGAGAGGACTGGAGAGGACTGACCCTTCCATAAGTTGCTTGAACCCGAGGGCAGCGGCAGCCGCCAGGACTCCGGCCACATCACTGAGGTCAACGTCCAGGTCATCGTGGTACAAGTTGCCCAGGGCTATGGCCATGGCTGAGGGAAACAAACACAAGACAAGACAAGAAAACAATACAATAATATCAAGTGAAACAAACAGGGAGACAAGACAAGAAAATAATACAATATTACAGTGGAGTCCACTTACTACGAGTCCGGAAAAAACGAGAAGTCTGTTATAAAGACACTGTTCTAAAACCCCGTTTTTTTCTCCTCTTTATCTTTGTAAATAAAATACTGCTATAGCGCTATCAGACAAACATGCGAGTCGGTTATAGCGGAATATTGCTGCTGCTGTGCACAGTGCATAGGCCAATTATACATAATGCAAAACCTTGCCAGTTGAGAAACTTGTTGGCGATCTAGCGAAACAAAGAATAGGAGAGCCCGTGTGTGTCAACAATGAAGGCCGGAGCGACTGAGTAGGGAGGGTGTGGCAAGCGCAGACAAGCAGAACGCATCGCGTGATAAGCCAGCGTAAGCCTTGTTTAGATTATCGAGGCCTACCATGCCTCTCACTTCTCCGATGCGGGGAAGGAGAGGTCACAGCAATGTGATGGATGGAGCGAATGTGTGACATGCGCGAGCAGACGGAATGCACCACAGGGTGGGGTGGGGTGGGGGGAAACACGGCAAACGAGTTAGCCCAGAGCCCTTTCTTTCTGATCGCCAAAGCCGATCTGCCAGTCCACATCGCTAGATCTAGCGCTAGAGAAATAAAGCTGATTCGAATTTTCATCAAGTAAGACCTAGAGGTCATGTTGAAACAAAATCATCATCAGGGGAGATAGCAAAAGGAAATAAACAGAACACCAAACTCATAGATTAGGCCTACTTTACAGTTTCCTTGAATTTATTACTGGATCCCTTATAGCGAGAATCCTTCTATAACGGACATTTTGCTCCGGTCCCCACCCTCTCGTTTTAACAGGATTCCACTGTATTATGTAAAACTGACAGAAGACAAGACAAGAAAATAATACAATATTATCAAGTGAAACAAAGAGAAGATGAAACAAACAAAAGAATAATGCATTATTATAGGAAACAAAAATAAGACCTGTGTCACGATGTGGCAGAATCAGGTGCTTGTCAATTTTCTGGCATATGCAGATATTGGTATCATCTTTACGCTGATGAAAAAATACCCACTTAGCTTTAATAGAAGACAAAATAATTGCGATGTAAGGAGGCCTGGTGTCAGAGGTAAAATTAGTTTTAAAAAATGGCCATCAAAGTTTGGTGACTTGCAAAGCTTGAGTTTCCTTGGAAACTGCAAGTTAAATTTTTTGTGCCCTTGATCAACGTTTTTGAGTAAAATCAAAACAGAAATTTGTTGTTTTTTTTTAAATAAAAAGAGTTGACCCCCCCAAAAAGACAATTTGAAAACAATTACCAGACAGTCAGAAAAAAGTCGGTTTCTTTTTAGTTCAAAATTTTGACGAGCACTAGATTTCATCACAGTGCCTCACATATGTTGAGAGAAAAATTTTACTTGGGGACACAAACAAAATATGACATGAAACGGAAAAACATTGCCATCCTCAGGAGAAATTCTTTTCTAAGTTGCTGACAGTGACAATTGCAGATAGCACAACAGCAAAATTACAAGGCAGCACTCTCTCTCTCTCTCTCTCTCTCCCTCCCTCCCTTTCAAATAGTAACACTTCTACATCCACATGAACACATCCATAAAAAAAACAATAAAAAAAAAAAAGATAAAAAGACATAGCATTCTAGGGTGTTTCAAACAATGTTTACATTTCCTTTGTTCATCTCACTATGCACTTTGCCAATGAAGAGAGACGGTGCTTGGCAAAAACAATGAAAAGAAAAACTTGATTGCTATCTAAAGTAGCAAAACCTACATCAAACATTGCCCTGATTTCATTTTCTTGGAATCCAATGATAGAACAAGCTACTGAACATAACATGAAAACATAATATATCAAGCAGTCCTTTAGAATGTCTCTTAACAACCTAATTATCACACAGTGCATTACTGAATTGCTCTAGACAGTTCCTCTTTTCAAAAACAGTGAGAATGGTGCCATTCTGAAACTATTCCATTAAGAACATTACTAATCATATTCTTCTTAATGACTAAATTTTAAGAAATGTTGATTGAGTCTCTTTGAAAACTAATTCCATCTTCCACACTCCCTCTCATTATATTGGTAAAAGAAAAGATAGCCCTCAACAATTTTCTTTAACTAAGTATAGTTTTAGTGAGCATTTTTTCAGCACTTGCAACACAAATAGGTTATATAAGTGCTGAAGGACAACAGATGTTTGTAGAGAAAGAAGGAGCAAAATACACCTACCACCCACGTTATATCTTTACAAAAATTTCGGTAACATTATGCATGGGAAAAAGACAGTCTCAGAGGAGCAGTTTGTAGACTTGATAATAGCAGTCAAATGTAAAGTACTTCAACAGCACAGCCAAAAACAACAGCCCTACATAACTTATAATAAAATAAATAAAGATTTATTAAAAACCGCTTAGAAAAAAAAAACATCTTTGAGAAATCAGATGATCACACATATTTGGACATACAGCCGAACCTGTCCCTGACGCCACCCAGTGTTGAGGAGAAAAGTGTTCATCTCAGACAGACAGAAGATCCTCTTAGACAGTGTCATTATAATACAAAGAAAATGCAAGAAGGAGAGGAAGAGGGGGAGGGGGGGTGAGAGTGGCCATTCGGATTAGTGGTTGTTACAGCAGGTTCCACTGTAAATTACAGACATACCCTATGTATACACAACAAAGTTTTTTCTTACAAATGACAATAAAATTTCAGTTAGTTTTTGTAGAGGTTTTACGGCGCTCGCAACTGCATAAGGTCATATGAGCGCCAGAAGATTAGAGGCATTACAAGAGAGTAACAAACATAAAAAAGAAGAAGGAGAGATAAGGATGACAGATGTTTCATAGGAAAGAAGAAGCAAACCACACCAGAGCACCCGCCAACCATAAAATTTCAGACAAGCTTTTCAACAGCGAGGGGTTGGACTTAGTATGTATGAGCAAAATGTGGAGCATCCACATGGCACAGTACCTCTCTGAGAGACGAGTGGGTCGTCAAAGTGTAGATGTATCACAGACAGACTCCCGACTCTCTTCTCCGAAATGTGGGCTGGGTGGTCCAGGCCCTTGGACTGGGTCTCCTCTGCCTCACTGGCCTCCACCACTAGCAGTTTGTGGTTGGTGTTCTGGTACTCGTTACTAGGACACGAACAAATAATGGGACTTCCATTACAATGACTATAATCAGTCTGATAAAACTTGTACAATAAGATGAATTTAGTTAGTTTAGTAAGAGTTTTACGGCGCCCACAACGACAGAGAAAGAGGGGAGAGGGG